AGGACAGAGTTCCCACCCTAGACCTCTGTCTTTCCTGGTATCAGGATCATAAAACTTGGGGGCAGTAATACTTGCTTATCAAATATTTCATTTTAATAAATCATGTTAATCATTGGAAAATTATTTGGCATTTTTAATGTTCTTGTTATGAGAGGAAAACCTTAGCAACAGATTAATAAGGTCTTTTTGTCATGCAGTGGTATAATGCACACCCATTAAAAATTTTAAGTAGTTTTTAATGATAACCTAAATATACATGATAAAATGGTGAATTGTTAAAAAATATGAAACATTCAAGTAAAATTTATAGAAATTAGTACAAAGATACAAATAAATGTACCCAACAAGGAATTACTTCTCTACCACAGAAGTATATTGAATGACCATCTTTATTCTATCATTATAGTACAATAGGAGGGAAATTGCCTTAGAAATGTATTTGAAGCAATGAACTTCTCTTAATATTAACAAAAATATGTCTGGAGAGAAGTAATAAAGAAAATATTGTATCTCCCTTATTGCTTCTAGAGGGATATGGAATAAAAATGAGACAGAACATGTAAAGACCAAGGTGAGATGTGAAGGGCAACTGTAAAAATAACTATGATGGCAATACCTCAGTACACCTCTAGGCTCTTACAGAAAACCACTAGATATATCAGTGGTGGAAGTAATCCTCCCTTCTATTCAGTGAAGTGGATATCACGATGAACCAGTTGCTCCTATGATTCCTGGTGGTATTAAACTATCCACATCCCATAGGGTTCATACTCAGGTGTTTGAATTTAGAGTTTAATCCCTTAATCCAGGATGTACCCTGGGTGTTGAGGACTATAGTAATGATGATGATGCTGGTTATAAAAACTAACCCAAAAACTAAACTAGTCAGAAAAGCACTCCACTTACAGTACAAATTTAATGTTTATGAAAATGAAGAAACTGAGTCACAAAAATGTGAAGTGCTTTCCTCAAGGCTGTAAGTGGTTGTGTTGTGTTGAAATCCAACTGATTTGTGTGCTTAAACACAGAATACTACCTCTACTAATAATATGTCAAACAATAGTCTGCTCAATGCAGAAAATATTTAATGACAAAACTTTTAAAAATCAACATCAATCCTTCATAGGTACTCTTAATATCATTTTGTAGTTATATTTTGTTTTTTATTCCCCTAGTCATACATGCTCTTTTAAGAAATACACCGAGGACATACAATGTAGCTTTGGAAAAATATTATGTTAATTATCCACCAGGTGGCCATGGGTGATGCCAAATCGTTCCCATATTAGCCTACTAGAGTTCTAGATAGAATCTGAAAATAATCCCTTCAATTAATATACACATTTCTCCTTCCTGTGGAGACAGATCATCTAGCCAAGGGATAAAGGGGACAGATATAAGAGTCTCCTATACAGTCACAAATATCTATATTCCGGTAGCTGAGGAACAAGCTTCTTAATGCATAGAGAGAGTTCTGGCAAGAGTGGTATCCTGAGAACATGCAGAGGGTGCTAAGCGGCCAGATGACAAAGGCAGAACTTCCTTCACCTCAAGGAGCAACCATCACAGACACAGAAAACTTCTGTTATAAGACGCTTCTCCCACTTCTTGATTTTTGATTAGTGCTTAAGACAGGAAACTATGGTACAGAGATCAGTTATCATGGCCAAGGATACATGAGCTAGACATTAACAAGAAAAGCTTCAAACACCAGATAGTTTAACTATAAGCCAATGATTTTAAGGCCTATCTAATTCACACCTGAAAGTGGTATATAGGAATCAGGTAATTTAAAGAGCATTTAAATGTTAACAGAAAATAAACCTTATGAAAAACAATGAGGTCAAGAGCTGAATGATCACTTCTTAGGCATGCACAAAAGTAGAAACCTGGATCGTGTCAATCAGATCTGTCAGAACACAAAGGCTGTTCACTGAGCACAACTACAGCTTGTGGACGTTAATTCACACTAAGTGTGGAGACAGCTTTTCAGCAGATAAGCCATCACAAACACAAGAGTAAAGATTGGATATGTTGGGAGTGTGTTAACTCCTGAATTTAATAATTAGCATATTGAAAGAACAGGATGTTACCTTATGATTCCAAATCACATCATGTTGTCCTAGAAGATCCACAGGGGAAGGAATGTGGGTTATACAGCCTTTAATTTACATAAAGGGAACAATCCATTAAACGAACAATGATGCAAACCGATTACATGCTTCAAGTTCTAAGCACTGGAAAAACATAAATGATTACAACATGTTTACTCACATAAAGAATGCTAAGTCTGTAGAAGTGATAGCAGTTGTTTTTCCTATTATTCTTGTCATTATTGTTGCCATAATCAGTTGTAGGTAACACAGTGGATGCTCATTCTTTGCTAGGCTCCCGTGGGGAGCAGTTATTAGACTATTGCACAGATATGTTTATCTTAAATTTATAAATCAATCCCAAAAGATTCCTAAGACTACCTGACAATCCTGATATCTCTACCTTGTTCATTGCTCACCTACTCTCCAAAATGCCTTTATTCTAAAGTTTTTAACAATCCGCCCTGTTCTCACAGAGAGGAGCTCTTCTTGGTTCTGGTCGCACCGAGAAAACAGGAGGCAAAAGACAGTAACTCACTGGTGCCACGCGGGGGCTCTCTCCGCCTTCCCTCCTGCTGTGGTTAATGAGCTGGCCTTGCTCACACAAGAAATTGATTCCAAAGCTTTTGACCATTCTCAAATGTCTTCTGTCTGTAAGAAATGTCCCCCTTTTTCATTCATCACCAATTTTCTCTTTTATAGAATGCTTCCCTTAAACCTGTCTGTAATATCTCACATCAACAAAACACACTGGAGTCATACACCCTTCTAGCTACTCCTCCATTTCTCTGCTCTCATTTACCACAAAAAGACAAACTGTATTAATTAATATTTTATTCATCTTGTTCCCTTCCTTTCCCTCTATTTTACCCCAAATGCCCTCTGAGCATAACTCCGTTTTGACTCTTCTTACTAGGTCCCGAGCGGACTCCAGGCTGCCAAATGCAATGGTCAGTGTTCAGAGCTCACTGTGATCCAGCAAGACGCCGCACCTGCTGCAGCTGATCGCACTTCCCATCTTTGAGCCATTCTCACACCTGAATCTGAGAAAATATTTTGTATTACCCAATCAATCCCTATCTCTTTATTATTTATTTTTATTTACTTATCAAAGTATAGTTTTAATCCAATAATATATTGGTTTCAGCTATACAATGTAATGTTTCAATAATTATATACATTATTATTCAACACTATAAGTGTAGTTATGATCTCTTACCACACAATGATATTAAATATTAGTAAATATATTCCCTGTTACATTTTTCTTCCCAATAGTAATTAATTTTATAATTGGTAGTTTTTATCTCCTCATGCCCTTCACCTATCCCCCCAGTACAGTCATCACCCATTTTTTCTCGGTATCACTGACTCTATTTCTGTTCTTGTTTGTTTGTTCATTTGTTTTTTACTGTCTCACTTGCTTCCCAGTGAACAAAGCTGCCTCAGTTCTCACTCTCAACCCTCTATTCTTACCTAAATGATCGCAACTCATCCTATGCCTTTTGATATCCCTTCAACTCTGAAGACTCCATATTTAGATGTTCAGCCCAGAACTCTAATCTGAAGCCCAACTGACTTCACACAACTAACAAGCATTTCAAAAGTGTCTTCATAACAATGAAATTCTATTTCTCCTACTCAATATTGACATTTGAAAAGTTTTCAAAATATCAGTAAATAGAAATGCCATTGTCAGTTCGCTAGAGCCCAAACCATTGAGCCAACGTTTACTCTGCACTCCTCCCGGCAGCCGTCTTTCCCGAGACCTGATCCTGCTGCCCAACTGCTCCATTCAGTCCATCTTTGTCTCTCATCTCTAAAGCCTCTGAAGTTGTCTTCCTGTATCTACCTGACCTAGTTCCTAGCTCTATTCTCCACATTATAAACAGAGTGATCCTTTTAAACTGTACATTATATCAAATTACATTGCTACAGAAAATTCTTCAAAAGCTTCCCATCTCACCCAAAACCAAACCAAAAATGTATTCAAGTAATACTGATGATGAATCATACAGATTTGGGAAATGTAAATTTTCTGTCTTAGTCTTCCTCCTTCCTAGATCTCTGCTATTAAAATGACATGGAAGAAGACAAGGTTATGTTCCTTTATGTTAAATATTAGAGTATATTCTCTTTCAGTAAATATGCTTTACTTCAATATTGAATATTCATAGTCATCTGAGTAAGGCTCACTCACTGTTATGTGTACCTCGCACTTGACAGTCACCGTTTTCAGCACGAGTGGCATGAAGGTGATCAGAGACCTGAGGATCCACTGAGAGAAATCCAATAACCAGAGACAACCCACATTGTGTGGTTTAATTTCTTTGTTACTTGTGAATTGGCATTGTTTTTCTTTATTGATACAAAAAAATTCACAGAATTTTGGGCACTGAAATTTGGTAGCTTTGGAAGGTTTTTGATTTGTTTAACCATGAGTTAAGTGTGGAGGAGCCTGTGAAGAGTTAGTGTGAAATCTAATATCTGTTCTTCTTCATTTTTTTGAGAAACAAATGACCTAGATCAGATGCAATCTTTAAGTTAATTAATAACACATTATTTTTCATAGCCAGAAAGTCTCTGCTTAAGTAATGAAACATTGTGGGTCTCCGTCACTCCCAGGAAAAAGTCACAAGCTAAGGTAAATTATCTTAATTGCCAAGTGTAAATAATCTCTGATAGCTGATCAACAGTCTCTTGTGAAACAGGGCCTATAGAGGATGTTCCTTGGAGACATTTTCCAGGTCACTGGAGCTTTAAGCATCCCTTTTGGGTGCTTTTGGAAGAGCACTGTACAAATGTCTTTCTAAATGTCCCTGTGACGTCTTGTTTCTGAGGCAATAGATGAGAGGGTTGAGCATGGGTGTGACGAAGGTGTAGAAGGCTGATACTATCTTGTCCTTCTCAGGGGTGTGGAAGGACTAGGGAAGCACATATGTGTGTATAGAAGGCAGCCCCATAGAAAATGCTGACCACAGTCAAGTGGGAAGAGCACGTACTAAAGACCTTTCTCAGGCCTTCAGGGGAGTGCAAGCGGTGGACGGTTAGCAAGATGAGGGAGTAGGAGGCTGCAATAACAGAGACGGGATTGAGCAGCATGATTACACAGCAGATGTACATTAGGGTTTCATAGAAGGATATGTTGGCACAGGCCAGCCTGAGAACTGCAAGGATCTCACAGAAGAAATGGTTGATGAGGTGGGAGACACAGTAGGGGAAATTCATGGTGACGGGCATGAGCAGCAAGCCATCCAGGGACCCACCAAACCAGGCACCAGCAGCCAGCAGAAGACACACCCTGCAGTTCATCAGGACGGGGTACCGCAGAGGGTCACACACGGCCTCATAGCAGTCATAGGCCATGAGGCCCAGGAGGAAGAACTCTGCACCGATCATGGTCAAATAGAGGAAGATCTGGATTCCACAGCCCACAAAGGAAATGGTCTTCTCCTTAGAAACCATGTCAACCAGGAGCTTTGGGACAGTGCTACAAATGAAAACAGTGTCCATCACGGACAACTGGCTGAGCAGGAAGTACATGGGGGTGTGGAAGCGGGAGTCCACCTGAATCAAGGATATCATGACCAGATTTGCAGTTACAGCCATCACAAAAATAGCAAAAATAATTGCAAAGACTGTTCCTGAAGCTTTGCTGTTTACCTGAAGCCCCAGGAGGATAAAGTCTGCTGACAAAGTTCTATTCTTCATTGATGTTGCCTATGACAGCTCCAGGGAGCAGGAAGCCACGGAGATTAAGGATGGAGAGGAAAGAAAGAACTTTCTCTATGAGAGAAACTTGCAGTGGAGATGACGCCTCAGAGGGTACTTGTCAGGATAGCATCTTCCAAGACAGATGCTAGAGAGAAGCAGACCAAGAGACACATCCATAAATCAGTGACTGTAGACCTATTCCTCCTGTTGGAGAACAACCCTTCGTATATTTTGTTTACGATCATGTTTCAATGTATAGGTTTTGCTAATTGCATAGTAAAGTTGGTGTTTGCTGTATCTACATGAGAGTTTTAACTGTGTCTGTCCTCTGCATTCTGCCTTTCTGGCTTCCAGAGTGATGTCCCATCCATACCAGTGTTCCAGGTGGGGTTTGATCTCGGGTTCTTGTCCCCACGACAACAAAGTGAAGGATAGAAACACAGTAGTGAAGCAGACTGATATTTTTATTCAAATCCATTCCAAGGGAGGAACAGGCTAGAGTCAAGGAAGACAAAGGCCCTGAACTTTTAGGGGAGGGTCTATTTACCATAACCAAGCCCCGAGGCACCTCTTTTGATTTGAGGTCTTTTGATGGACAGCTCAAGTTCTACACCCATTCCTCTTGGTGTATATGTCTTCCCAAAGTGCACACAGAAATGCCCATGGTGGGGAGCAAAACAGCAATTTTATTTTAATGAGATCATGAGGAACTGTGTTTTGGGTGGTTCTTAATTTTCTTTGATGTCCGCTGTGTTGGGACCTGGCTGGGACAGGTTGGCTAGGTTGCGATAGGCAAGCAGTCATCTCCCTGCAAAGCCTTTGTGGTCTCCTCGTGGAACCCCCTGCTTGGGAAGTGTGGGCAATTTTTTCCTTGAACTCTAACTTCCTCTTCCCCAGTTTCTCACATCTACCTTATTCTCTAACAGTCAGGCTAAGTCAATAGTAATTGGAGAAAAGGGCAATTGATTTATTATTTGAATGGCTAAAGGTTAACAAAAGAAAAAAACACAGGAAGTGAAGTGTGTGCAGTGAGATCACATCCTGTGTCTCTGCTCTGCTGTCCATGCTTCACCTATGACATTTCTGGTCACCAGATATATGGAGATTTCTTTCCAATACCAAGAGATTTTCCGTTCTCCAGACAGCATCTGGGTTTCTTATAATTTCATTCAGTTCTTACAATGTCTGCCTGGAGTCACCCTGATATCCTACAGGCTAAATGCTCATTCCCACAAGCCTGCCTGTGGCTCCTATGCCAACTGCAAGCACAAGGGTCTGACCTGGGATGCCAGTTTCAGTCACTCGTGTTTCTTAACTGCTGGCTTCAGGAGGAAGTTTCCATGACCCCTTCCTAGGTTCATGTAATTTTCCAAAGTGTCTCATAGAACTCAGGAAAATAATCTACTTACTAGGCTGACTAGCATAAAGCCTGGGAGTGACCGAGGATGCATGGGGCGAGCTGTGGGGTGGTGTGCAGATATCTCTTGCCCTCCATGGGTGTTCATTGCCCTCCTAGCAACTCCACCTGTGCCCCAACCAGAAGCTCTCTGAATTACATTTTGGATTTTTACAGGTTTTGTTATTTAAGCATAATTGAACAAATCATTGGCCATTGGTGATTGATTGAACCTTTAGCTCCTCTTGTCTTCTGGGAGGCCTTGGAAGTGAGTGCTGAAAACTTCTGACCTCTGATCATATGGTCAGCTTCCTGGCAACAAGCTGTGAGCCTTCAGAGAGTTTCATGCATCAGCTCACTACCGTGAACTCATGGGTTACTCTGAAGGGCCTTTTTGTGAATAACAAAAGATATCCACATAGCTCTTTTCATTTAGACAATCCCTAGGGTTCTAGGGGTCTGTGCCAGAATGGAGACAAAGCACAAACATGTACCTCTTTTTATGCATTACAACATCACAAAAGGGTAGGCCATGGCTGAGGCTTCATGAATGTTCTAGTCACCCTATTTCAATCAGGTTATTCCAGAACCTTTCCCACTATCTCCATTTATCTCTGTGTTTTTAGACACAGCAAAGTGATGTTGAAAGACCTACATAAGACCAAGTCATCCTGCTCAGGACTGCTCTGGTGCTACCGGGTCCATGCAAATCCTGCCTTGCTGTGACCCTTCACCCTCTCATCATCTCCTGCTCCTCCAGTGTGTTCACCCTGGTGCTGCAGACCCCACGTTCTCCTTGCTGGATCCTTCACCCTCAGCCGGTGGCTTTTACCCACACTGTGACCCAGGCCCAAGCCCCTTCCCCACATCTGAGCCCAGTTTTGCCCTCGTGCCCTTCAGGGCTTTGCTCTGTACCCAACTTCTCAGAGAAGCCCCTTCTTACTGGACTTGATGACTCAGGTTTTCACATCTCTTAACACACTTCACATATATATTCATATATTCATCTTATTTTTTATTAGTCTACTGTTGCTAGACAGTAAGTTCAATATAAGCAAGGGTGTCTGCCTATTCTGTTTTCTGTGTGCTTTGACAATATAAAAGAATGCCTGGGATCTGGCAAATATTTTTTTCAATGTTTAAATGAATGATTGCTAAACATTTGCTATCTATATGATGCTTTAAAAAATTTTTTTCTGTTTAGGGTGATGCCCTTCTAGTAGAAATTATTTAAAATATATCTGGGTATGTTTTACATAATGTGGTTAAGGAAAATAAAATGTGTTAAATAGCAGGCCCTTGTGTGTATCTTCAATCCAAAATGAGCTTCCTGCAAAATAGGATCCATTCACATGTTCTAATAATAAACTTAGTTTTAGGAAAGAGGAATTAAACATAAATTTCTAAGGTTATATATACCATTTTGAGACAATCACTTTCTGGTACTTACTATACCATCTTAGACAAAGTCACATGTCAACACAAAGTACAGCAAACAATGGGCTCACCACTTTCTTTCTCTTCTGAATCTCCCCTTGTTGTGACAGCTTTTCATTTACTATATCCCAGTTATCATATGAAAGATACTTGTAACTTCAGATGCTGTCATCCATCCAGAATTTGTATTGTGGATGGTAATACAGTTGGAACTCAATCTGTGAGATACACATAAAAGGAGAAAAAAACTTATGTATGACTTTTCTTAAGAGAAAGTTTCCATGTGTTTACTATGTTCAAAAAATTTATCTTAAAATGTTACTATTAATATGTCATTTTTAAATTTTGCAAAGCTGTAATGGACAATAAATCCAATTGTGCTAGGCAGAATAATGTCCCCAGTCAAAGGCACTTTGTTCTAATACCCAGATCATGAATATGTTCAATTCCTATTTTGCAGATGTGATTAAGTTAGGGGTGTTGAGATGGGAGATAATTTGGGAATGTCCTGTTGTGTCCAGTGAAATTACAAAAGTCCCAAAAGAGGGATGGGGGAAGAGGGAGGCAGGAGACAGAGGGGGAGATGCGGCATCATGTACAGACGGTTCCCCAGGATCCAAACACTGGCTCTGAAAGTGGAGGGACCACAGGCAAGGCAATGAGTGGTTTCCAGAATCTGAGAAAGGCTAGAAGTGGATTCTCCCCTACAGCCTTCCGAAAGGAGTGCAGACTCTCCTGACACCTTGATTTCAGCCCAGCAATACTAATGTCAGACTTGTGAGCTCTAGAACTGTAAGACAATCAGCCATGTCATTTTAAGCCAATGAGTTTGATGCAGCTGCCATACCAATAAATAATTTTATCAACTTTTAAATATAACCATAAGAATAATGAGCTCTGATTGCAGAGCATAAGCATGACTGAAGCACGTTCCTAATAATATGTTAGTGCTGAATTTCTGCCAGGCATTGTTTCTTTATGCTCCTCATCATTGTGTTTTGATGTAGTCACTCTGCAGAGCACAGCCATAGGGTCACGTACTGTGATTATCAACATCTTGCAGCTGGAGAAACTGAGGTTAAAAGTGGGCAAGTGGTGAGCCTTTGTCTTGGCTCAAGGGCTCAGGTTTTGTTTTCCTTACTTACCACAATTAAGTTCAACTGACACCCAAATGCACACTATCTTTTTAAGTATCAGTTAGGTTTACAAAAAGTGAAGAAAAGTCCAAGGAATATAGGCTTCAAGGCCAGGATCACACTTAACAGTAATTTGAATTTCTGGTTAAAATTTGTCAACAGTGTTGTAAAGTAATAAAAGGAAGTTAATTGTTTCCAGAAATCCAAAAGGCATTCAAACTCCAGGGCAATGCTTAGCCATCTTGCATCTGCATGCAGTGTGTCTAACTGGCTGCTTGGCTTCCTGCTGAGGTCCCATGGAAAGAAAAGTGTTCACCTGATATACCATGAGAACGACTTGCAAGCCCCAGACTTATATATCACTGAGGGCAACCTCCCATCTCTAAGGAGACATAATAGTGCCACATCCAGGATACCTGCCCCCAGGCTTCCATCAGTTCAAACAACACTGGATATGCAGCCTTGTAAATATAATATATTTCCTTTCAAGGATGGTATTTTAAAGGAATCCTCTGTAATGTGTGTCATGGAGAAGCAGCAGAGTTCACTCAAGAATAAATGATTTCTGTCAAAGGGATGAAAATGAGGCATAGGGAACATAGTCAATAGTATTGCAATATCTATGTCTATTGTAATATCTTTGATGACAGATGGTAATTATTCTTATAGTGCTAAGCATACACTAATGTGTATAATCATCAAATGATTGTATTATATGCCTGAAAGCAATGTAATGTTGTATATCAAACATACGTCAGTACAAAATAATAAATGAACCCTGTGAATAAGAGTATTATTCCATGCTGAGCAAAGATTAAACAAAACATATCAAATATTGCATGGAGGTGTAAATTCTGTTT